AACAGAAAAGTGGGTGAAGGGAGACATCGGACAGTGCAGATATGACAAAATAATAATTTATAAATTGTCAAGGGCGCATAAGGGAGGGGGGAGCAGGGAAGGAGGGGGAAACGTGAGGAGCTGATGCCAGTGGCTTAAGTGGAGAGCAAATGTTTTGAGAATGATGAAGGCAATGAAGCATTAATGTGCTTTACCCAATATGTATGGATTGTGATGAGAGTTGTATGAGTCCCTAATAAAATGATGTTTTTAAAAAGAGCGTAAAAGTATTCTGGAAATAAAAATGTAACAATATTTTTAAAACTAATCAATGGTAAAAGAATCAAGATAAAGAGAAAACCATAACTGAAGCAAAATCCCTTAACTTTCTATTCTACACCTGTGTGATAATACTCAAACATGACTAATTATTTCATTTTCCTGATAAAAAGTATTAGACTTGATTTTTGGGAAATGAATGGTTGGAATAATTTCTATTAAAGCATCTCTTAAAATTTAATGTTTAGAGTTATAAACACATTTAAGTATTCACACTCAACCACTACCAGCAAAAACAATAAACACAGTCAATGTATACACATAAATACATGCATTAACAGTTAAATATAGCTATCACCTACCTGTTTTCTTATAAATTGCTAATTCTTGTACAGTTTCCAAAAACTGCCAAAATTTCTCATTACTTTCTTCTGCCAGAAATTCACTATTTAAAAAAAAAAAGGAAAATAATCAGTCAGCAAATGGAAATGAAAAGTGATCTAGATCCTATAAATTATACCTTAGAACCAAATTATATTTTATGGTAAAAACAAAAACTCATCAACACTAACATAAAATTACTGATGTGCATACGTTAGAGGTTTCAAAAAGTTCATGGAATAATGATATATTAGAAGATAATGTATTTTCCCCATGAATTTGGGAAGCCCATACAACTATAAAGAGAAAACAAACTCATCACTTATTTGAGCTAGTTCACCTAAAGTGCAGCATGTAGTTACATCAATAAGATTGCAGGAAATGTTGCTTTTGGCTCTTTCTCACTATCAACAAAAACTTAAAAATAGGTCATTTATTTCACTACATGAAATACCACTGAGAAGCATAATTTGATGGTAATAGAGAATAATGCTATTTTAAAAAATAAGTTATGGCATATACTTAATTGACATATACTTCACACATCATATTAAGATCTGTGCAATCATCACCACAGTCAACTTCCTTCTCACACTCATTGGTGTTGTTGAGAATGCTATATTAAGGTAAATGTAAAAAAAGACTCCTTTCATGAAGCTAAATTGGTTTTATGCACATTTTAAGTCACATTATCAAGTAGGTTTTTTGGTCGTTTGCATAGATTTTATTATTTGAAGGATTAAAGATCCTAATTATTTAGAAAACAGGAAATTAGTATATTACACAGGGCTCTGGTCATTTAAAATCTTTAAAAATAATAAACTAGAAAAAAGCTTATTTAGTCCTGTACAGAGTGCTATAAGTAAAGTTAACTAGTTAAACTAACTTCTGCCAAAAAACTCAAACCTGTTGCATGTGGTTGATGATACTGTCAGATGCCTTCAAATCAGCTCTAAATGACAGTGATGCCATGTGCAACAGAACAAATGCTGCTGGGTCCCGTGCCATCCTCAAATTACTGCCACATTTGAGCCCATTGTTGCAGCCATTGGATCAATCGACTTTAATGAGGGTCTTCCTCACTGTCACTGGCTCTCTACTTCACCAAGCATGATGTATTCCTGACACTGGTCCCGCCTGATAACATGTCCAAAGTATGTGAGATGATGTTTTGACATTCTGGCTTCTCAGGAGGATTCTGGCTGTACTTCTGCCAAGACAGATGCGCTTGTTCTCCTGGCAGCCCATGGTCTGTTTGATATTCTTCACTAACACAATGATTCCAAGGTGCTATTAATTCTTCATCAAGGAGACAAAGTCTGGAGATTCTAGTCTTCTGACAAGCATAAGAATTTCCACTACTCCTTTGGATTTCCAAGGCTGTAAATACGAGAGCAGAAAACCTCATCTTCTTCCACAGAGCGACTGGTGGGCTCAAACGTCTAACCTTGTGGTTAATAGCCCAATACATTATTCACTACCCCACCAGGGATCCTGTTTATACAATAAGGAACATTAAAAAAAAAAACAACTCTTGCTACTAATGGTGTCCCACCCAACAGTAGAAGCGGGAAAAGAAGGAAGGTAAAAACTGTATATTGCAGAAGAAGTTATGGAAAACGTTTATAGAATGTGACGTAGAAATGTTGCCAGTTGCCTCTGTGCTGACTCAGAGCCACGCTATGTGGGCCAGCATAGATCCTCCATAGGGTTTCCCGTTGCTGATTTTCTGAAATAGAGGGCCAGACTTTCTTCAGCGGTACCTCTGGGTGGACTCCAATATCAATCTCTGGGTTACCAGCTGAGCACATTAACCGCTTGGAGTAACCAAGAGCTCTGCCAAAGTCCAGGGATATTACAAAACAAGAACAGGGCAAGATATGACAAAATACCCATTTATAAACTATCAAGGGCTCATGCGGGAGGTGGGAGCGGGGAGGGAGGGGAAAAATGAGGACCTAAACGTCGGGAGTTTAAATGGAGAGAAAATGTTTTGAGAAATGATGTACAAATGCGCTTTACACAATTGATGTGTGTATGGATTGGGATAACAGTTGTATGAGCCCCTAATAAAATGTTAAAAAAGAAAAAAAATAAAATAAAATAAAATCACTGGGAAAAAAAAAATTAAATTAAAAATGCCAAAAAAAAAAGGGAACAACATTTAAAACTCAAAGACTAAACCAGTGGTTTTCAACCTTCCTAAGGCCGCGATCCTTGCTATGGTGACCACCCCCCCAACCATAAAATTATTTCTGTTGCTACTTCATAACTATAATTTTGCTACTGTTATGAATCAGGTGACCCCGTGAAAGGGTTGTTCAACCCCCAAAGGGGTGGCGACCCACAGGCTGAGAACCGCTGGACTAAACCAAAACAAACTCATCGCCATCAGCCAATGCTAACTCAGAGACCCTATACGACAGGATACAATTGCCCCATTGAGTTTCAGAGACTGTAAATGGGAGTAGAAAGCTTCTTCTTTCTCCCTAGGAGCAGCTGGGGGTTTTGAACCACTGACCTTGAAGATCACATTCCAACACATAACCACTATGCTACCAAGCAGCCAAACTTATTTACATAGTGCATAAGTCTAAGTACTAGAATGTACACACTAAAGATCATTCAAAATGACTGCCTTAAGAAAGAATATGCTTAAACTTATACTACTAGTCTGGGCAGTTTTTCAACTTTCATATAATTGCATTCAAGAAAATCTGACAGTAACTCATTAATCTCAGAGGAGGAAAGACCTTTGAGAGATCATCTGTACTCATTTTCTACCTTCCAAAAACATGTGTTACCTTTGGTCAATTTGGCTCCAAATCAGTGCTCCTCAACATAATTTACTCCAAAAGGGAAAACACTTCTATTAACAATTCAAAAAATTTTCTTAAGTTATGACAGCAATTATAAGTGGAATTCCAAAAATGTTCTCAACCATATCAACACAAATGGAATAAGCACACATTAGCTGTATCAGTTATAGTATATGAGGGAGTTTCAAGGTTTCGGGAAAAATTCTATTATCTTTTAATGCCATACCCCATAAACTTTTCGAAGCCTCCTACTTTGGGCAGACAACATTCAGCCTTATTCGCCTATAATCATCCCCAACAAATATTGCAGGAGTTCCTGGATAGGACTAGCCCAAAGGTTAGAGATTCTAATCCACCCAAAGGTGGCTCGGATGAAAGGACTGGCAATCGGCTTCTGAAAGAGCACAGCCCTGGACATTACAGAACACAGTTAAGACTCTGAAACACACGGGGCTCCCATAGTCAGAAGTGACTCCATAGCAACGACCCTTTTTGCCATTATTCCCAGATTGTACATTTCCTTGGGGAGAGGATAAAACGCACTCATCTTCGATTCCTTCAAGTACCCATCTTTGAGTCGTGCTCACAATACTCTAGGCACTCATTTTTTTCACACTAACCTGAAAAAGATACACCTACGCACATACATATGAAGAGGCTTTAAAAAGTTCATGGAGGGTTGGAGAAAGGGGGATCCCAGGCTGGGGCTTTGGGCTTCAGGGTTCCCAGATTCGTCGCTTTGTGGGTCTCTCCTAACCCCCCTCCATTGTTTCCTTTCCATACAGTGGTGCCTTCTCCAGAGACTCCTTGTACCTCTTCAGCTCAAAGGACTCGGTGACTGTTGCAGCTGTGCCTGTAGAATTGACCTCAGAAGAATGGGCACTGCTGGATGTTTCTCAGAAGCAACTCTATAAAGATGTGATGGAGGAGACTGTCACAAACCTAGCCACAGTAGAAAACCTACCCAACTGAAGATGTAATGGTAAGATTCTTGAAGTGATACAAATGCCTCCACATTACAATGAATCTGTGAATTTTGTGGCAGCATAAATTAGCAGGATAGCAACTAGAATCCACTTTTGAAGTCTTTGATACCTGATCCCATCGACGCCTCGTGATCACACAGGCTCGTGTGCTTCTTCCACGTGGACTGTTGCTTCTCAGCTAGATGGCCGCTTATTTGTCTTTGAACCTTTAAGAATCCAAATGTTGTATCTTTTGATGGCCAGGCACCATCAACTTTCTTCACCACATTTGCTGTGCACCCATTTTGTCTTCAGCAATCATGTTGGTTAAAAAATATTTGCAGTGACATCCAAGAGCAGATATAAGGATAATACTATTGATGAGATCTCCAGTCAAATTTCAATCCTTCTTGCATTTAAAAAGACCAGTACAAATATATCCCATGGAATGTCTTCAGTATGGAAAATCATCCAAGGATCTTTCTTCACTAGGGATTTCATACTCAATTCAATTCTGACCAGTTTAGGAAACGTGGAAAAAAATATATAGTCCAGTAGAAATTCTAACAGGAAAGAAATGCTGTGACTATAAAGAAGGTGGTAAAACCTTTGTAGATTGTTCACCACTGAGATCACACTGTCCAGTGGAGCCAAGTCTTATGAATGTAAGCACTGTGGAAAACGCAGCACAGCAAAGCCTTGTGAATCTATGGAATGTAGCAAAGCTTTTCTTAGACCTTCAAATTTCCCTAGACACATGACTGGCTCACAGTGGAGAGAGGCCTTATGAATGTAATGAATGTAAGAAAGCTTTTACACATTCTGCTAGCCTCAATCAACATGAGACTTCACAGTGGGGGCCTTATGAATGTTAAGAAAAGTGAGAGAACTTTTACTTGATCCTTACATCTCATGCAGCATATGAGAATTCACAGTGGAGAGAGGCCTTATGAATGTAAGGAATGTGAGAGACCTTCTCCTCAATCCTCTCACCTCATTCAACATATGAAACTTCACAGTTGACAGACACCTTATGTTAGGAAAGTTGGAGAACTTTTACTCAGTTCACGAGCCGCAAACAACATGAGAATTCACAGTGGAGAGAAAACTTTAAGGAATGTGGGAAGTAATTTAGCCACTCCTCACATAGCATTAAACATGTAAGAATGGAGGGAGGACTTATGAATGTAAGGAATTTGGAGACAGGTAGAGTAAATCCTCAAATATCACTGTGACTATGAGACCCACAGTGTAGAGAAACCTAAGGAATTATAAAAAAG